AAGAAATGTCATGAACAAAAAGAAAAGCATCTTCTTCACAGAGAGGAACCAAAATAAAGAGGGGAATTAACAAAGAGGTGAAAAATGAGATAAAACAAGCCAAAGGAAGCATCAGGACATCATTGAACATAAGTATTTCAGTGGCAACCTGCCGGCAACTGAGGAGTGGATCACAAATACATCCTTAGTCACCCAGAAAAACAAAGACAATGATAGAAAATTGTGTCAACAGTAAGAAGACACCTTGTTGATAACTGTACCCAAGAACAGCAACTCAAGTCAACTTAACGATTTAAGACCAGTTGCACTAACATCAGAAGTAAAGAACATTTTTGAGAAAATCATCAGGAATCTTATTTGTTCTCAATGTGAATGAGAAATTTGATCCACTCCAGTTTGCTGACCAGAAAGGAGGAGGTGCAAAGGAGACAATTTTTATGTTATTCCTTATTTATAGAAACACTTGGAAAACCCATTAACCCATGTCAGACTTTTGTTTGTGGTCTTTATCAGCTCTTAACGCAACACAGTCACAGCTTCTAGTAAACAGACTTGTAGGTGGTATTAAATTGCCCCACGAGCTGATATTATGGCTCTTAGACTTCTGAACAGGCAGAGAGCAGAGTTTCTGGAAATGGCCGCCTCCCAGATTTAGTATTTTTCGGACGACATGCATTGTTGTTTCTGAGGTTCTGAATCGAACCACAGGAAAGCCCCTCACTTCATGTCTTGATGTGATAACAACTCTTAAGATGTTATTGAAATGTATCAAAAACCAAACAACTGATAACTGATTTCAGACATAACAGGGGTCCTGTAATAAGTGTGTTATACATAATGAGAACATGGAAATCATCATGTCATACATACATCTTGCTACTGTTTTTGACTGTCACCATAAGATTGATGTAAACACAGATGTGCTGCGTTGGCAGCAGAGAATTCCTCACAAACTAAATTCCTTCTCTTTCCATCTCATCATCCTCTGCTATTTTCACCATTGCTTTCTTAAAACTCTCCTGAGTTTTTCTTTGACATGTTAGTTTCCAAACCTGATCGTAAAATAAACAAATAGTCTGAATAACATTGTGAAAATTGTAAGATTACCAAAGAAAAGTAACGAGGACAATTTTATTTTTGCAACAAACTCCTCTAGAAAGCATCAAGTGTTCTGGCTTCTCCTCGTCATTTTCCTGCAAGTCAGTTGTCTTTGCTGCCATCGACGTGCTGTTTTACTTTTCCTGCATGTAAAACTAGCCGACACTCCAAATCATTCATTCCTTTTGCAATTTGTTTTATTAAATACTTCAAATGCAGCAATGCAACATTGAATTTGACAAATTATGACGTGTATATAGATGCACATGTATGAACATGTACATAATTGTATGCATATGTTGTGCCATGTGTTACTGACATCAAGCTGCTTCAAATGAATAAATTGCCCCTAATGGGATTCATAAAGTTGCTTGAATGGAATTAAACTGAGTACCACAGTATTACACAATGATGACCACCATCAAATATTAACNGAAGGCGGTAAATATGGGCGGGCAGAGAGGGCCTGCCTCTCAATCCATCTGACCAATCGCTGCTCCTATGGCTCCGCCCCCCTCCGACGATTTTTGCGTCACTGGTTCCAAAAATCCAAGATGTCAACCAGGAAGTAGCAAAACCCTGGCTTCATTTTCTCAGTGCAGAAACCAACGGGTGACGGTAGATACGTCCATCTTTTATACAGTCTATGGGAGTTAACAGCTTCGGCCCTGGAGCAGAGGTAAAGTCTCCCCTGTGTGTCCCGACCACGGTCTGGAGGCTGAGCCATTAATTTTAGCTCATCATTGTGTCAGGAATTTTTCATTCGCACTTCCAATATTTGGCACCACTGTCACCACGCCCACCTTTCTAACTTGGGTGTCAAGTATATGACTTGATAGCATGCATACTTGCTAAATTCCATGTGTAGAAAGAGCACTAAAGTAGTACTCGTTACTTTGATGACATTCTACCCACCAAACACCCAACATCATTTAGACATTGTTTTTTGGGCTAAATCTGGTCGGTCCATCATAGCCTAGGTTTAGCCCTAATATAGTTGTTGAAATTGGGTTGTTTTTGGACCATCCAATTTGGTCCTAATTTAGCCCAAATATAGTTGTTGAAAACTGGGGCCCCCCCTGGGCACTTCCCCCCTGGGGAGCGCTCCAACGGGGAACGCAGAGGCAGTACTTGGCTGCTGATACCAGTTTAGGACAGTGGTTCCAGTTCTGTTTCCACCATCATGGCAGATATGCTTCACCACCACCATCTGTGTTTACTTGTGTAAACACTGAGCATGCTCGCTGTGTGTGACGTCGTCGTGTCCTCTTCTGGGGATGCGGGACGCTTTTGGGTTGTATGAAGTTCACACAGCAGATCACATACAAGTCACATTTAATTGGAAATGTAAACGAACTGACAAAAAAAGAGCTATTTTACGAAAAAATCGGAATTGAGCATTAAATCCTGCATTCTGAATGTCACCAATCTGTCTGATTGTTAAGTCAGATAATACACCATTATCCTTATTTGTGAGATAAAATATGATGTGGGAGTCGGAATTCAAGGCTGTCGGTATGTTAAGGCGGTTTTTCATGGGTTCCTGTCGGATAGCAAGGTTTTCAGATGAAGGGTCGGACTATCGAGTCACTTATTTTCAACTGATTCACACCAATTACCGGGTGTACAAGTAAATAAACAAACAACAATTACCACAGTTTTCATTTTCATATTTAGCTTTTAAAGTGTAATATTTTGACCTTCCCATAAACTTAACAAATCCCTGCAAATGTAATAGCTATTTGTTGGAAATGGTATTACCTTTTTATAGCCTTGTGTTATTATTACATTAACAGCTGCAGAGTGTGTTTGTGGTTGACGATGTTTGTTGGCTGTTATCGCGTTTATGAGTAGATGTGAATAATGAAATAATACAGTGGAGGAAAAAAGCAATATGTTATGTGAAAACAGTAAAAGCAGAGTCAATAATAAATTAAATCACGACTTGTACAGTCTACAGTGTAAAACAACCATCAAATCAAGTTTATTGTCATTTTGCTGTACATACAACAGCAGTACAAACAAGATCAGAGAGCGTTTTTTCAGGATCCAATAACTAAAAGCAATTAAATAAAGAAGTGTTTGCATATCCGGATCAGTGATTCAGCATTCTGACAGCTTGTGGGAATGAAGCTGTTGATCAGTTCAATGTTCAAACAGTTTATGGAGAAGGTGTGAGGAGTCCCTGACAATGTTCACTGTCCTGCTCCTGGGAAAGTTCAGAACTAGCTGCCTGTCTGTCCACATGGAACGATGTCATCTCCTCCAGCTGGGATGTTGTCATGGAGCCATGTTTCTGTAAAAGCAAACACACAGCAGTCCCTCCACTATCTGTGGGTTTCTCCCAGCAAACGTAGCTCATCCAGCTTGTTGTCGAGGGAGCAGACATTGGAGAGTAGGAGCGACGGTCATGCTGGTCTGGAGGGGTTAGCCTTTAGCCCAGCATGGATCCCGGCTCTCTTCCTCCTCCTTTGTTTACGTTCATACCGTTTGCGCTTCCTTCTCTCTCGGGTATCTGCCAGCAAAGTCTCCAATCGGACTCCGTGTTGGTGTGGTATGTCCAAATCACATCTAAGCGGCGCGATTTTAGCGACGTTCATTGCCGTGATGTTCAGCAAAGTCTCTCGGCTGTACGTTTTGCGGAATGAACATCTGGGGTAGGCCAGACACTCAAAACTTTCACTTTCAGAGAAATCAGAATCAGAAATCAGAGAATAAATAGTACAGATTGGTGAAAGTGGAGACACTCAATATGCTGGATTGTATTGGTGAAATGCAAAGTTGTCACTGCTGTGACTGCGCATAAAATTACACTATCACACACAAACTAATCACTAATAGGAGAACACAATAACTAAAGGAAAGAACTACCAGCCTATGCTAAATGTCATACACTCTCTTCTGAGAGACAGCTGGATTAGAGTTTCAAACATAATATAGTGATGCCACACTTTCATCAACACACATGTATCTGAAGAGTTCAGCTAACATGCAGGTGTAGTTCCTTGTGGAACCTCTCTGTGCCAGACTTTCCCATCAGGCTGCTCTCTCCACTTCAGGGTGACTCCACTCACTCCTTTCTCCTTCAGTCTGTCCTGGAGCTGAGAGACAAACATGGCAGCCATTGTTGAAACATCCATTCAAACTGAAATCTGTGTTGANGTCAGAAGTCTCGGGATGGTGTTTGGAGACTTGCCTTTTTCAGGAGCTCTGCTTTCACAGCAGGGTCGTTGGGATCCACAGAGGAGTCGTCCAGTTTGATCCTCAGCTTCACTACCTGCTTCTTTACTTTTGCTAAAACACACAGAAAGAAGAAGAGGAGAAATTAAACATGCTTGGAATTGTTCTCTGACAACAAACACAAAAATATGTTTTTAAAACTGCAGTAAAGGTCAGCACTCACCAGGTATGCTGTAGCAGACAAATGGTAACGTTTCATTGCAACCCCAAAATTTCCATCTTCCTGCTCTGCGCGGAGATGAAACTCCGCATATGACTCTCTTGGAGCCATATTGGTTGTGAACATAATCAAAGTGGCTGAAAGAGAAGCTGCTCCCATCAGACCAGTAAAAATTAGGATCTCTAAATAAACCAATCCATGAATAACTTTGGACTAAGTTTTGGAGCTGCTGGTTCTGGATCTCATTCCTCACAGTGGCCAGGTCTATGAAGTTCTCCCTGCAGTACTTCTGAGCACTGGACCAAGTCATGGTTTCATTCACAACAATGTACTCAGGATCCAGCTGTGTTCCTGCAGTTTGAGGGAGAAGATGAGTTCACTTAGTGAATTTAAAAACTGTATTATTTTAAGACTGAAGGACTTCATGTAACAGAAACAGTTCACCCCTGTGCAATATCACTTCAATGACACATGATTCAAAATTGTATCAACTCTTACTCAGTATTATTTCTGAGTTATACTGAAAATACAAGCCCCAAGCTAGAAACTTAAGGCAACAAAGGTGAATACACCAGTGATCCATCCATCCATTATCCATACACCACTTTATCCTCTGTGGGGTCATAGGGGATCTGGAGTCTATCCCAGCTGACTCAGGGTGAAGGCAGGGTTCACCCTGGACAGGTCACCAGTCTATCACAGGGTCACACTGAGCCAGATAAACAATGGATGGACGGTTTGGGGTCCATCATGTTTAATGTGAACCTGATCAGGACAACCACAGTACATGGATAGTCCTGACAGAAAAGCACAGAGGTGGGAGTGTGATATATGGTTCTACATGAGTGCCAAAGGTGTTGTGGAGATGACATTTATGAATGGAACCATTCCTGACTGTAGATATACGAAAACAATGGTTAACAAGATGACTCCCAGCCCGCAGAGGGTTGGTAAAAGAAGAATGTTCCCCCATGATGATGATCCAAAGCACACTGTCAGAATCACACAAGAGCTTATAAAGAAAGAAAAAGTGAAAACTATGACCCGGCGAAGTGTGTCTTCTGAGCTGAATCCAAAAGCCACACCATTGAGGTATTTTAAAGAAAAATGCAGAACAACACAACCTCTCCAGTAAAATGCAGCTGAAAGAAACTGTCTCTGAAGAATAGCAGAACATCTCCATCTTCCATCCTGAGGAGAACTTTTTTCTTTCTTTTTTTGTTTTTTTTAAAAAATCCAGTCATGGTAATGAAAGGTGGACTAACTTTTGTTGTGTGGAGTTCCTACTGTGTGTTACTTTTTAATCATACATAAGCAAATGCCCAACTGTTAAGCTTAGAAATGATGCAGTTACCATAAGGTGATGAAATGCTGAATCATGTGATATTTACATGATGTTGCACAGGATTGTACTTACTTCTTTTTTTATACTGTATATGATTGATATCCTTACCTTTGTAACAGACAGCTGAGAATTGCTCCAGGCAAGGCGCATCATACCAATGTCCAGCCAATGTAGTGCTCACACAGAACTCACGTGCAGAATAAAAATTTGGTTTTCCTGATTTCCAGCTCCTGTACTCAGCCCCGCTCCCTGTGAACCCATCTGACCACCTCCAGTCGATTTCAGTATACAGACCGATCCACACCTCAGAGTTGTGACCAGAAGATGAAACTGTGTCAATGAGTTGGTTGATTTCTGTCATGCTCTCTGTGGTGGCCAGGTCTGTGTATGTCTCTCTGCAGTAGGACTGAGCTTCATGCCAAGTCAATGGTTCGTTCACAAAGTGGTACTGACGG